AACTACTCAACTTTTATAAAACTTGTACATGACCATATTTCAAAAACTGTCTTGAAAGAACTCTTTTTTAAAGGGGAAAAATGTCTACCTTTAATGTTTCAGTTGTAGAAAGGTGCCGAAAATAATTGAGCTTTTGCTATTTTCGAAAAATCAGGAATTTTAACGAAAATGAGATCTGCATCATTCTCTTAGTCGCTCGAAAGCGTTAATTTCGCTATCTGACAACAAACTTTAATAAAAATATTTGGACCCATGTTTTGTGAACATTTTGAAAATGAGCCTTTTTGAGGCTTCGTGTAAAGTACCCTCAAAAACTGTAATATTGGTTTCAAACTAAAGGAGCCGCGAAGTCAGCAAGATCGATTGGGGAATATTAGTTTTGGCGAAAATGTACGGAACGGTTTAGACGCTAGCGTAGTTTACAGACAGACGGACAGACAAATGTTTTGTCGTCAATCGATCTTTCGGTATCAAAACCCAGAAAACATGGATTCTGACGACACAGCGTGTTGGAGGATATCTTATACTATATGTAGGTGCAAGACTTATCCACTTTCGTTTCCAGGGCCCCGCAATAAGTGTTTTTTTTATCGAAAATTCGCCGTTTTCCCCCGCAGCATTACAATATTTTTCTCTGTACTTCGAAAGCAGTAGCAAGAAAGCAAAACTTTTTTTTTATTTTCTAGTTTAATTTTCAAATTAAAAAGTGCGGGAACATGCGGTGAACATTTGAGGAAAGTTTGAGGGAACCTTTTTCGGAACATTTGTGGGAACATTTTGAGGAATATTTGGAGGAATCTTTGTAGGAATATTTGGAGGAGCATTTGCAAAGACATTTGGTAAAACATTAGGAAAATATTTTGGGAAAACACTAGTGATGACGTTTTGAGGATCATTTGGAGGAATATGTCAAGGTATACATGTAAGGACTACATACCAGAAACATGTGAAGGAACATGCAATGAAAGTTTGAGGGAAAATGCGAGTGAAATATATTGGGGAGCTTGAGTAAAGGTTTTACGAACATTATCTGGTGACTTCTGCTCTGTAGCAGGTTGGTCATCTGAAACTAGAAATCTATATAAAATTAAATTGATAAATTAACAGGCCCTGCTTTACGTATAATTACTTTAATAGGCCCATCGTGACGAGCCTACAATGCTTCAATATATAGTACAGGTTGTAACCTGTAGTTAGGATCCAGCCTGAAGCTATTTTCACTTTTAAAACAATGATTTACAAAGTACGTAATGTCTTCATGGCTCCAGCTAGAATTATAATGTTAGGTACTGTTACCAATAAAATGAGAAGGTGCTGTTGTAGCATCATTAATTGTTCTTAACTTTCCCTCGGTAATATCATGGAAAATTCCCTGAATTTCAATGAAATTTATTCATTTGCTTTCCGAAGTCCATTTTCTTCAAATAGATTTCTATTTAAAAAATAGTCAGTTTTCTATTAACAATTCCGAAGGTTTCGAGAAGTTCGACGTATTTGTCAAGATTTACACTATATTTAAGTAAAACATTACGCATGTTGATAAGTAATTTACATAATTTCATTTTGCTATTTGGTAATATATAATTACGAATTCCAATTAGTTGTTATTCTGAGAAGCTTTCTGTATCTTATATTCATATATAAATTGTGTTCTTGCATTAAAAAATCTCACGAGATATCCTGATGCTAAAAGCTTCTGATATATTTTTAGCACATTCAAATGAATTTTTTTATGTGCTGACAAATACACAAATATGTTTTCACATTGGAGTTTTTCAAAATAAAAATAATTCAAAAATAAACTAATTTATAACCATTTTATTTGTTTAATGAAATTTATTCACTATCAAATATTTACTATTTGACTGAAAGTGTTCTCAAAGTAGAAAGAATTCCCCTCTACTAGTAGTTTTTAAATATCTCCCTGAGCTTTTCTAACAAGAATAATCTTGTTGTGTTCCGTAATAAAACTCGTAGCCACTAAATTGCTCAAGTCAGCACCTACTCGACTGCTTTACATAGGCGACGCTTTAGATGGCATTCTGCCCTCGCCTTCGTAAGTGTAATCTGAAACCTGTATATGTGCGGTATGCGGACGTGTGCAATCACGAGACTTCGTAATGTCGAGTGATGAAATCTTGCAATGGTAGTCAGTTTGTTGGCTTCTAAACTGATTTGCAGGAAATCAACGAAAATGGAACGCATTCCAATCAATTGCTCGAAATTATGTTTTTACTACATGAAAATACTTTTAATACGAGTAGCACTACTTGAAAAGTACATGGAAATTACGTGAAATACCTCACCACGTGAGTTTTACAAGAGCTTCCCCTCTTGTAGAAGGCTTTTGCACAAAAACGTACACAGATAGTGAAGCTACATTTATGTCCAGAAATAAAACTAGAGGTTACCCCTACATTTGCTCAAAAGATCACGGAAACTGGACGAAAAACCTGACCGAGATGGGGGTCATTGACCCTGAAAAATAACCATGTCATTGACCCTGTAAAATATTGGTCATTAACTTTACAACTAAAGTTGCCTCCGATTGTAGGTAACTCGGATGTAGTGAACTTAAGTCACTTGTCTCGTTTCATCTACGTTACAAATAAGCACAAAAACATTCGGTTACAGTTGACTCTGAACCTAGTGAACGTAGGAAATGCATCCTGGAAATTATTTCCCTCCTGGAAAAAAGATATCGCTCCAGTGCCACAAATTCCAAGGCAAGGCAGCTTGGAGCGCAATATCATCGCCCAAAGGTCGCAATCGAAGGAGACTCCCCTGAGTTGGAAGTTGCGGTCCCGGAATGGGGACCTTACTGATGACCTTGTGCCCCTCAGTTTCACTGCGGGCCTGTGGGCGCTACAACTGGCGGCGGCGTCAGAAGACTGCTTGATTCCGTTTCAAGCGTGATGTTACTTGATATTCCGCGCCCCAAAAGGGCGTAGTGTCCTACGATGTGCGCGACGTTCTAGTATGTGCGCGACTGCCACTACCTCACCGCCTCAGCGATATCGGTTTTAATAGCCGCTTGCGGCGTGCCGCTATTGAAAGGATCTCGTACGAGTATGTTATTTGGTGAGAAAGATCCTTCGGAGAATGGGACGGTGTTCCAACAATGCAAGAGACATTCAAGGGTCTCAAGACTACTTCACGATACTTAGAAACAATTGAAAATTCAGTATCAAGTATGGAGAGCGTACGAAGGATCTCGAGAAATTAATAATGAAAAATGTGCGAAGAAAACAATTGAAAATAATTGATTTTTTAAGGTCAACTAGAGATATTGAACATTTCCAGATCGTGCTGTTAATGTATTTTGCTGTATCTCTATAGTAATTAATCATTGAGAAGCAATTCTATTTAATTTTGACATCATCGGATATAGTGAAACAAAGTGTTAATCGTCAGAAGTTCACTATAACCGGAGTCGACTTTATTTTCATAAAATATCAGAATTTGATGTTAAGTGCGAATAGAATTAGGCGTATAACACTTGAATATGGAGGGAGATGGTATATCACCGCGCACTAGGTTATCTACTACGTTACGATATAACTTTTACTCTAAGCTTTTGCAGTATACAACAAAATTAAGAACACATGCTACTCGCAATTCCCTCTGACGCAACGAACCTCGTTTTTGATCATCGTAATTACAGTCAACTGATTAACTACAGTGTTCGAGCCACGCGATTCGATATTTTGAGGTGAAAACGTTGAGCAAATGCCGAAGCTCCTGATTCGCTATTCTTTAGCTTTGAGCTCTGGCCTTGCCACGTGACCGCGAATTATCAACCACCTTCTGATTTTATTCACAATACAGACAGTACAGAACTCTTTTGTACTTTGGTTTTCTACTACGTTTCCTTCGTTTGGTAATTGGTCGTAGGTCGAAGTAGAGCGCAGCCCTCACCTTGGATTTTTTTTTCAAGACATTGTCACCGGTTTGTGACCTATATATAAAATATGCATATTGATTGATTGATTTGATGAGATTATGTTCGGGAATTCGATTAGATTACATGATCCGTTTATATTCAGGGCGCCTACCTAGAATGTAGATGTAAATAAATGTTGCTGTATTTGTTCAGTCTTACACCGCTGAATTACCGCATTAAGAATTGGGGGTGCAGCATCTGGTATGATATAAATGACATTAAGTTAAATGAATATAAAGAAAGAAAATTGCTGATGAAATTCCGTCAAAAACTACTCAAAAGATCTTCTGTTAAACATTATATTGACATTGGGTCTTGTGATAAACATTGCATAGAAGGTGCACATTCTAACTCTACAGACAACAACCTGAAATAAAAAATGTCTACGTTAGTAGTTATTCTGAAATTGCTCAGTGGGAAAGTCTCGACGGAAGAATTAGGAATCATACATTGCAAGAAATTCTCAATTTACCAATGAATTGACGAACCGTGTAATAAACTCCCTGCCTCTAGTAACTCTAGTAACCTCTAATAACTCATGAATATTTATCTGACAAATTCAGAAACTCTCTTGGTGGTATCAATAAATATGAAGTTTTTTTAAAAATTCTTAAACATTTTTTCTGACTCTAAATAGTATTAATGTTAAGAGTAATGGAGAGTTTCAGTGTTATATTGAAACACTGAATAAGATTACAAGGAAAATATTTCAGTAAGTTAGTAATTGTTTCAGGCACAGAATTATAATAAATATCACAATATCAATACGAGGAATATTCGTGTGTATTTATTGTTCGCTCCGTACCTAAGCAACGGTTGGGAATTCCGATGTCAGAAATCTAGGTAGTTGTAAGAATAACATTAAGGTTATTGCACGAATGGTTTAAAATATTATTTCTGTGGGAAAGACAGGTAATATATAATCATTTTAAACAATATGCATTGGGTTTAAGCATTTGAAGAATTAATAATGTGTATATTTATGATCAATTTTGAACAACACTCGAATTCTTTTTCAGACATTGAATTTAATGTGGTGTATAGGTCGAAAAATTTTGTTTCCAAGTCGCGTAACAACTCAGCATTTAAATTTCCCGCGATTGCCGTTGCGGATATCACAAGGGGCTCATGGTCTTCGTGGCCTGCGTTTGGCCTTGATTCGAAGCCTTCAAGGTAAAGAAAAATTGAGCAAAATAGAATTGTTGAGGTTACTCCGGCACTCTTGAGACAACAACATTGCTGACGTAGAACCTGAGATAAATGACACACATATGTGTGACCTTTCATTTTACGCATTGGTTCTTAAAGTATTCTTAATTTTAATTTGAGTTCTTGGGTGTTGGACCCAAGCGTTTTGTTGTGTCATTTTTGCTGCTTGTTATCAATTTTGTAGTTACGACAAGTGTTTGTGGATGACGTTGTCGTGAGTATGTTTAGGGCTCTTTTTCGTGCTTTACCTGGTAAAGTTTCTAATGGACTGACTGCTACCTATTTTACTGGTAAGATTATATACCTAAGTTGTAATGTGAATATTATTATTTTATTTTATGAAGGAATAATCTTGTGCGTCAAGTAAAGATTGTCGCGGCTATTTAGTAATTTTATTTTCAGATTGCTTGGTAATGGAGCAATTAAAGATCGTTTTAGGTATTCAATAGTTGTTTATTTTTTCACATTGCCTGGAAGGGCAAGCAATATAGAACAATGTGAAATAAAATAACTTAACAGCTGACACAATTTTTAACGACGGTATTTCACAAGGCGTCCTTTCACAAAATTAAATAATTTATATCACTACATCCATCAGCAAAAATCTTCATATAATGTGAACATTATGTTAGTGCATTTCAGTGATGAACATTAGAAGATAACAAAGTTCTTTACTGCCTTACTGTTTCTTGATAATACTAACCTCAAATTCCTGAATGTATCTTTTGAATTTAAGAAAAATCATCTATATATGAAGGAAACATGGCCATGAGATCCCTTCTTTTCAATAGGCCATTTTATGATTTTTCCCTCCTTTTTTTTTTCCCAACAGGAATGTTTTTCATCTACACTGTACAAAATATTGCAATAACAATGAAATAACAATTATAATTTCCTTCTTGTTATAATTATCTTAAATATGAAATTATTACCATATTAATTATGTGATTTTAGTTTCAGCTTGGGCTACTGTAGGATTCCGAGGTGCTCATAGTGTTTCACAATCAGATACTTATCCAAAAATGAAGGTCCACATTTTACCAGCCCTGTCTGATAATTATATGTATTTGGTAAGTTTCATTTTATGGTTTACCAATATGATAGAACTGGCTGTTCGTTATAATTGTGTTATTTGGGTATTACCCCTGAGATGGTCCCCCATTCCCGCTTGTGTTGTAACACAGTATGTACATAAATTTTGAGTTGTATTTTAACACACAAAATTTATTAGTTTTATTTGTTTGAGAATTAAAATTCAACAACTGTTTCCATAACAGTGCAGCATTGACTTAATGCTTATGGAAATTTGAGGCCTTGAAGTTATGAGTGGAGGCATGTGGTGAGAGAACTAAAATTCCAGATATTATTTTGGTATTCTTGAGTGTTCATTCAGATCTTTTAAGGTCTTTTAATGTTAATAGGACTCAAAACATTCTTTATAGTTCCTTAAAGTGGATTGTTTGTACTGGTATTCTTGATGCATTTAACATCGCTATTTTGATGGCTAATTTTCTGATTTCAAGAAATACATCAAAATGATTTTCTACCTCAAATAAATTCAACTACATTTTTTAGGAATCGATAGAATTGCATTTCTTTAATGGCATAAATGAGGGCCGTATTGGGGGTGTTTCTTGACATTTAGTAGTCATACTGCAGTTTGAGGAGAAACACCTTGAGTAGTTTTGCAATAATATTTTTTCTTAATATAGTTTTAATCTTTCTATTCATTACTAATTTGTTTGTGGAAAAAAAATATTTTTAAATATCTGTTCGTAAGCCTGAAAGTAAAATAAAATAAAATAAAATAGTCAAAATTAGATGAACAATTATGTGAAAGTATCTTTGTGATGGTGATGATTGATATTGTGAAGATGACTTCATGAATTAAAAAAATTATCAAGTATATATGAAGTACTGACTATCATTAACAGTTAATGCCATTTATAATATTTTTCATTCAAAGTACTATTATAATAGATAAGTTTTTTTTAAAATTTATTTTAGTCTTGTTGTGTACATGTAGTTTTTACACTTGAATTGGGGACATATAGTGGGACTCATAACTGTAGTATTAAGCAAAATGAAATCAGCTTCAAGCTATCTTTCTTGGTGACAGTACATTTTTGATAGATATGTTTTTGAAGTTAGAAGAATTTGTTCATTGTTCTTTTTCACTTTTTTAAACACATTTGCAGAAACAAAATTATAAAAAATGTTGCATAAAATTTGACCAGATAAAAATGTACAGCTATATACATACACTATTTGATGATGAGCATTACTATTGCTGAAAAATTTTAACCACCATTTTATGTTGAAGATTAATTGAACTAATCAGATGAATTGTTACTACCAAAGTAGTAACAACGTAGAGCCTTTATATTGTGTAATATACATAATTAATGGAATATTATTACCAGGGTTGGGCAGTATTTAAATTAAGTATTTCAAATACATTTTGTATTTGAAAAACTGTATTTTTCAGTTTTTTGGAGATATTTAATTACATAAAATAAGTGTATTAAAAAAAAGAAATACTTAAGATACGTGAATTTTATTTTTATTTATTTTTACTTTTATTCCAGTTTGTGAAGCAATTAACCCAGATAAACCTGGGTTTTTTTGATTTACTTTAACTTTTTGGATTAATGTATAATTAATAAGAATCCGTGTATAATATAGTTAGTTATTGTTTAGAAATTTTGTATGGCTGTCAGTTACTAATTTATTGTAATTGTCCATTACATTATATTGTTGCAATAAAAAGATAGAATGCAATTGTATTTTCTGTACTTTGAATATTTCAAGTATTTTAAATACACATGTATTTATCAAAACCTAATGTATTTTTAATAAGTTATATATAAATATTTTTAATATTTAAATACTAGTTTACAAATTATTTAAATATTAAATTTAATGTATTTTGCCCAACCTTGATTATTACTGGGAAATTGTGAAATCAAGATAAATTGATAGATTAATATTTAAGGCAAAATGGATAATTAAATGCAAAAATACTAAATACATATTGGAAATCTTACCTCACTGTGGCAATTTTGTCTGTCAACTGATTGGAAATACTTCCATTGAATCCAGTAAGTCCTATTGAAGAGATGTTTCTTATTCACAACAATGGTTGATTCATTGCACTTTGATAACCACTTTACATCAATGTCTTAAGAATTTCATCAAGTTAAAAATTAGAACTGCAAAAATCTCCAGCACTTTCATGAACAGAGCTTTATCTCACACTAGAGTAGCCAACCTATACCCTAAAGATGTTGCCAACTAGACTGAAATTTAGACTGTTTGCACATCATGAGGTTTCATTGTGTTCATGTCATAAAATCCTTAGATTGTTGATGAAGCAACAAAAGAGGCTGCCATTGTGGACCCTGTAGAGCCAGACAAGGTCGTTCGTGCTGTCAGCCAAGAGGGAGTCAAGCTGACTAGTGTGCTCACAACCCATCATCACTGGTAGGCTATTGGCGAGGCAAGCGAATATTCACATTAATAAAATGTTGAGAAAAAGCATTAAGATATGAATAAGATATTTTTGAGATTGAGATAAGATTTTTTTTTTTTTTTTTTTGAAGGGTAATATACTTCCTGTTTGTCTTATTTGCAAAATTAATTAGTTATATTATTATTTGATGATGATGATTATTTATGTACTTTAAGGCAATCTTAAAAGATCGGGTTTCCAAAATTATGCATTAAATATTCTTGTTGCTAGGGATCATGCTGGCGGAAATGCTAATTTGGTGAAGCAAGTTCCTGGTCTGACTGTGTATGGTGGCGATGATCGAATCGATGCTTTAACAAAAAAAGTTAGCCATGGTGACAAGTTCAGCATTGGTCAACTGAATGTGAGGTGTCTCTTCACTCCTTGCCATACAGCTGGCCACATTTGTTATTTTGTTGAATCACCTGGGAATACTCCTGCAGTTTTCACTGGTAATACTAAAACACTTTGTAAGACCTCTTCACCTATTTGATTTTCTTGGCCATGAACTAACAAAAAATGTTTTGTGTGCAGGAGACACATTGTTTATTGGTGGTTGTGGACGATTCTTTGAAGGTACACCAGATCAAATGCATAAAGCACTGATTGACACACTAGGCAATCTCCCACCAGAAACAGTATGTTGGTTTGTTCACATTAATGATATATTCACTGTAGAAAAATAAATGACTTTGGATTTCATTGTTTTGAATTGTGTTGTTGAAGGTACTGTATGATATAAATTAACTGGCAATATCTTGCATTTTCAGAAAGTGTATTGTGGTCATGAATATACAGTTGCTAATTTGAAATTTGCTCAGCATGTTGAACCTGACAATCAGCACATTCAAAGCAAAATAAGCTGGTCACAACAGAAAAGGTCTAAGCAAGAACCTACTGTCCCCTCTACCATTGGTAAATATTATAGAACATTGTTGGAAGTCTAATATTTTTTCATGGGACATGTGATATTTTAGTATTTGTATTGGTTAAAATTCATTCTTCTGTCGAAATGACCCCCCAGGTGCGGGATAAAGAAGTGGTTCATAGTAACAAGCTTTTCCTAAATTACGATATGTTGAAAACTTATTTTATATAGTTCAAAAAAAAAGTCTGCACTTTTCTCTTAAAGAATACTACATATTATTTGTCTCTAATTTCTTATTGTTTTTTTGAACAAGTTAGTTGGGGGATAATGTAAGCAAACGCTATAATCCCAAGGTAGTAATCCCTCTAAATGCATTTTTTTTTGTCACGTTTGTCACATCATGCATGTTTTATACTGACATACATAGTAAAAATTATTACCTGGAAATACTTTGTTAAAAAAAAACATTGACTGTTGCAGGAACAGGTACTTCTAAGTCATCCAATCTAAAAACCATACTTTCTTGAAAGCATTTTATTGCATTTAACCATGATAACTACACCGCAAAAACTTAAAGAATTGGTATTTTTATTATGTTTATTTTTCTTTGTAATAAGGAAAATGTATATTAATTTTTTGGTCAGACCTGAAATGTTCTGATCAAGATGTATTCAAGAAAACAGTTATTGATATCCTTGAATTTCCTAAAAGTCGTTTATTTACTACATAAGGGGGCATTGTAAATTTAAAATTTAGAAGCTAATGATTCTGAAAATGTGTTAGGAGAGTGATACTCTTCTACTCTTTTTGCTTTGTCTTATTTTGCATCAACTGAAATTGTAACACAGAGGTAAAATGATACATTCTTTGCAGGTGAAGAAAAGCTCTTCAATCCATTCATGCGCGTTATTGAGCCTTCAATTTTGAAACATGCCAACACTCAGGACTCCATTAAGGCAATGGAGTTTGTCAGGCGTGAAAAAGATTCCTTCAAGGCCTGAAAGAATTAGAACTTGCAGCTACTGAAATAACATTTAACAATGAAAATAATTAGATGGAATGGAATGTAAACATTTTCTTTGTATATTGATTTTTATTGTGCATAAAGAAATTACATATTAAAATCATAATTTGTAACAAACATATATTAACATTCTTCTGTCGTATATTTTCCACGATTTGCATAAACTTGCATTTCTGCCGCGTATTTTTCCTTTGACTTTTCATACATTTCATAATAAACCTGAAAGAATAAGAGTAAGGACATAAGACTACATAAAAAAAACCAACTTATTGTATGTAGTTATTACCATTAATTCACAACAAACATTGAGACAGCTAATTACTAACACTCATGTGTAATTTAAAGTACTGCCACATGTTTCTAAAGAACTAATAAAAACATAACTGGAGAGGACAAGAACCAAGAATAAGTTGCTTTATCAACATTATTGTTCCATAATAGGAGCATTTTCTAACAAACACTGCAATACAATATGAAGCAATTTCATGCATGTGGCTAAACATTCCTAAAACAAAAGATATAAAATAATGTCATAAAAATGTCAATGAATGTGATTTAGACATAAATTTCTATTCAAATAATTCAAAATTGGTTGTTTTCATCTATTTAAAAACACTTAAGTTTTGAAATAAATAAGCAAGGTGACGAATGATTGGTTTGCAAAGGAAAATAAAATTCTTTGAATAATACTGAGATGCATGTGGTTGTAATTCCTGTACGTGCAGCAACCCCAGGTGTTCATGCCATATTGTGTGGTGTCAACATACACAACCTAATTCACGTGCAGCCTAATAAACTTACCAAAAATTCAAAAATCGTCCTTGCGGCAGATAGGAAAAATCAGAACTCAGTACTTATCAGTTTTCCGTTTTTCTTTTCTCCCTGATTTGTGACCAGAACGTTTGCTCTTACGCCATACCTTTTTATCCTCTGGTGGAAGTGTGTTCCACTTGCTTGCCAATTGGCGAGTCAGTTCTTGCTTTGATGGTTCAGCATCTCCAGATTTTTGTTCCATTCCTAACCTTTCCATAACTATCGGTCTTTGTTCCTGGCAGAACTGAAAGAAAGGATTTGCAGGTCGTTTGGGAGCATTGGGATCCCGTTCTGGCTTCTCACTGTGTTTTGTGTATTTTCTCTTTGTTCCTGATCCGGTCGCAGTGTTTTTTCTTCCAACTTTCTCACCTGCTGAGGCCTAATAACATGTCATATTTCAGTTTTGACCCTAATGACTCAATCCAGTAATGTAAGTTTAGATATGATGCTGTACCTTGTGAGATGTTCTGTCATTTCCTTTGGTGTAATGCTTTTCTGCTTTTGGTGTAACATGTGGGGTAGTTACCGGCATAGGTTCATCCAGAGTTAATGGTAGCTGCATGTTCTGCCAGTTGTCACCATGCTGGTCTAGTCGTTCCATTAGGAATCTATCAAAATCTTTTGATAAGAATAACTGATTTTTTTTACAAGGGATTTCTTTAGTGAATAAAATAATTAGCTAGTTACTAATGATGCCTGATAAAGAGTAATTCTCATACATTCAGAGTACATTGTGTTGACAACACCCTCTTTTTTTTGTAATTTTGACAAAATAATGGGGAAAATATGAACAAAAATGTTGAACTTGTTTGAACATGTTTTTTTTTTACTGTGATTTTATTCAAAAGCTAAAATGAATATTTTTAATCGTGAACCAGTAGCCAATAATTAAGTCATCAGTTTAAGAACTTCTACCAATTTATTCACACTCTTAAAAAACAGTTTTGACTGATAGAATGTCAAGATGCATGCTACTGCTGTTCTCCATTCCATTTTTAAAATTTACTTTAACACACTTCAAATTGGGTGTTTATGATGTATTCACACATTTCAATACAGGTTAAAAAAACATTATAACCTTGCGGATGGATGTTATATGCATTCATTTAGCATCTTAAATAAGAGATGTCATAAGAGGGCAAGACACAGAAGCACATTCTTTGTGAATTTAAAAAAATGTAATTACTAGCTATAATATTAATTAAAATAATTAATTAAATTGTCTGAATTAAAGTATTAAATATAAAGGAACAACAATGACATTGTCAATATTAGGAGATTCATTATCCAATATTATTAACACTTTCTTTTAAATTTTAGAATCAGTTAAAATATTTAAATGATAATTTTGATTATGGTTAAAATTGAGTTTAGAACTGCTAAGATGTAGTTGCATATTGCAGTAAACCAAAATGTAAATATTATAATGTAGTACATCAGGTTTGAGGTGTTTCAATTAATTACATTCTTCAAGTCTCTTCACTATTTTAATTGATATGACAGTAGTATTCCAACACCATACCCAATCTTAAAAATTGCATTAAGGATTTTCAAAATGTTAACAATATCTTTAGGCTCACATTTTCAATAATCAATTCAAGTTATTGCAGTTTATACCAAGTTCCATTTTAAATTGAAAATTTTGCCAAAAATATATTAATGTACTTAGGTGTAAAGAAGGTGATACATTAAAACAGAGCTATTAAGATATAAAAACATTACAATTGCATTTTAACAATTTCTTCTGAGCAAAAAAAGCATCAACATTATAATTCTGAAGTATAGATATTAAAGTCCTCCATATATAACAACCAGAACCTCGTTAATAATTAAAAAAGTGTACTTACATGTCACATACATAAAAACGTCCATTCTTTATATTAAAAAGATAAGTCTTCATACTTACTTTCTCTCTTTTCTGCATCTTCTCAATATTTTCCTGACCTGTTGGATCCTGTGTACTAACCGCTCGTTGTCCTAAGAAACGTGTTTAAAATTTTAGCATTTCAGCCTGAAGTAAAATACTTTTCGAGATATTCCAAACTCACCAATTGCAACACTTCGCATCTTTCCAGGAGCAACTTATACTTTTTGGAATAAGTGTCTCCGACTTCATCATTATCAACTTCGTCATCAGAGTCATCTGACAAATTGCTTGCATTTGGTACTATCATTTTCTGCACAAATGAGTTTCTTACAATGCTAAAACCTATGTTAAAATGCAAATGTTTCCTCTGTAGTACTTTTGCTCATCCGCTTCGTCTCTTTTCTTGACAGAAGAGCTACCATGCGCATTCGCGAGTCACTTGTTAATAGTTCCTCGTGGTTCCTCCATGTAACATTTAGCAGCACCGTTCTGTAGCCCAGCGCCAACGCCATCTAGGTTCCCAAAATGGCGATGGTAGCGCTTCATTTGTGAACGTGTAATCAGTTGGGCCAACATTACAATAACCTTTTCAATACAGGAAAATGGTATTTGAACCGTGCCCGCCAATTGCAAAACGAATATTAATTACATAAACTTCTGTTTTTCGGATATGTATACTACAATTTCCTACGAATGAGAACAAGCTGACGAAAACAGTTTCTCGTCTTCTTAACAGAAGGTTGCTTTCGAAATTAGAAATAACTTTCCGGCAAAGAAAATTCGGATTGCGACGGGTTTCTCTTTTATGAAGGGATATGATTTTATTGATCGGCATCGTGTTGTTCAGCATGAGACGCAGAAGGAAATATAGGATATTAGCTCACTGGGCTTCTTGTTAGATGGTAACTCTCATGTCCGAGTTATGCAATGAATTTGCCCACGCACCACTAACAAGCCCAAGCACCGCACGCAGAACGTTGGAACCATACGACTTCACAATCCATGGATCCTGTACTACGTAAATTGCCAAGGGTCGGCAAAACGACAGCCCAGTATTTTTATTTTGTTTTGTATCTTCATAACACTTGGCTAAATAAAAATTTTATCGATATTTCAGTTCCTTGTTTTAAAAAAAATACTTAACAGGAGCATTAAGTTATGTGATTCCCTGTTATGCGTTGTGCATGAATGATAAGAACAGTCAGATTACTATTCCTACGGTCCGTGAAAGAAGCTAGAGGTGCACGAATCTTGATGATTTCCGTTATTAGGCCCAACACCCCAAGCTTTTACACATTTCACACGAATTTTTTGTTATTATCAGAATAAAACGTGTATAAAATTCAAATAGTTTAATTATTTTAGGATACTTTCATTAGGAGCTACGAGGAGCTAGAGACAAATATTCACCAAGGTTTAAAATCCCGCAATTACATCAAAACCAAAGAAAAACATGAAATTCTGAAATACCTTAAAAAGCAACACACAAAACACATGAAATCAATCACTTCAGAAGTCACTCCCTCTCAGTAACAGTAAAGCACCTCTTGAGTTCTATAATTGTACCTTTTGAGAGTTTCAGTGACCTAACAAGAACCCATAATTCTTAACTTTGTTACATTTAAGCACTGGCAAAATTCTTTAACACTATTCTGGCTGATTCTTAAGTTGAATTAAGAAAATTAAAAAAAATATATACTTTGGACGGCGTTAGATGGCAACTGGCAAGAGTATGTGGCAAGTCCGAATAGCTAGCCGAGACCAAATGAAATAGAAAACTATTACGGGGAAGCCTGTGTCATTCCGTAGCACTACTTGGTCCGTTTAGTGTCTCTGAATAAATATTACTAACTTCAACGATTGCGTAAGATGGGCTGGCTGATAAAGACTCGAGAGGGTCTCATTTTTTCAGAATTATCTATTAAAGGAAAAGGAATGAATTTATCTTTAGTTACCCCCACCCTTCCCTGCTTATCACGCCCCTCTTCAACCTGCTCCACCTCACCGTTGTGTCCATATAGATTATAGTGATGGTAAAACTCTTTCAGTCCATTACAATTTAAAAATACCTCGATTTCGTTCGATCAATCGATTGATTCTAAATTTAGCAATAGATTTATTCACATTTTCGTCACTAGTGACTTGTAATAAGAGTGTTTCTTCATTTTCTTTTCTTCTTTTCACAGTTTTTCCAAATACTAAATCATTCGTAAAGTTGGTAAAACTCTCCAATGCCGTACGTTTTCCTGAAGCCATTACTATTCAAACTATCGGACTAAACACACTCTAAAAGCTATTAAAAGTACACATCAGCAATTGACATCGTCCAGAGTTGTTTTAAAAAATCATTGGTAACGAGTCAAAGCGCTGTCAACTTGAGTCAGGTCGAACGCTAATTCGTAGTATGCGAACTGTCTTTCCTTGCTCTACCTCTGTACTCTGTCACTTTCTGCAGAAGACTGAAGGAAACCGGCTGTGTCAGTAGTGAGATGTACAAAATTGAAAATTCATTTTCCAACTGAAAGACAAAAGCAGTTTATAGACACATTTTTAAGATTCAAATATTATTTTAAAAAAAAAACAATTTCAAAACTACGTTCTAGTACAAATTAAGAGCTACTGTATTAATTATACCTTTATGCAACTTCTTAGCGTAAATCATTTGGTGACCACATATACTGGTACTACTGAAAGAAATCCTAGTGCGCGTTGGACTTCACACATTTTACGGGGCCTGGTACAAGAAATCTGAAAGGCAAGCTTCTCTTTTCCCGACAATTTGGTGAATACATTCTTCCCTTAAAAAATTTAAATGTTATATACGATACAACTTACTAGTAAATATTGAACTCTTTCATACTGACGTAATAATATTTATTCATATTTGTGTCATGATAATTCTGAAAGTATCGTTTAACAAATTAATTCTCGGAAATGACAATCATATCTTTACAAAATCATAGTAAGGTCGTGTACGACAGTGTACTGTGTATCTGGACTTAATGGACACACACACTGAAGTGAGAAATGTCATGGGATAGCAATAAGCAAATACACAGATGGCAGTAGTAGCGTGAACCAGTGGAGTAAAAGAACAATCCATTGTCAGAGCTTTCATTTGTACTGAAGTGATTCATGTGAAAATGTTCCTGATGAATGATTATGGCCGCACGACGGGAATTAACAGACTTTGAAGGCGGTAGTTGGAGCTAGATGCATGAGACATTCCGTTTCGGAAATCGTTAGGGAATTTAAAATTCAGAGGTCCAAGTGTGTTCCGAGAATAACCAATTTCAGGCATAAGTTCTCACTAAGAACAACGCAGTGGCCAACGTCCTTCTCTTAATGACCGAGAGCAATGGCTTTTGCGTAGAGTTGTCGGTTCCAACAGACTAGCAACACTGCTTGAAATAACCGGCGAAATCAATGTGCACGTAGGACGAACGTAGCTGTCAGGACAGTGCGGCAAAAATTGGGTCGTTAATAAGCTACGGTAGCAGAAGACGGACTCGAGTGCCTTAGCTACCACAACATCGCTTGCAGCCGTCTCCTGGGATCATGACAACATCGACTGGACCCTAGACGAGTGGAAAACTGTGTGTTTGTCAGATGAGTCCCGATTTCAATTATTGAGACTGATTGCAGCGTTCCAGTGAGCCACACACCCCACGAAACCATGGAGTCATGTTGTCAACAAAGCACTGTGCACGCTGGCGGTGGCTCCATAATGATGTAGGCTGTATTAAGATAGAACGGACTGGACCCTCTCGTCCAACTGAACAAATCATTGACTGGAAATGGTTATGTTCAGCTACTCGGATTCCAACCATTCATGGATATGCATATTCCCAAACAACGATTGATTTTTTATGGATGGCAATGCGCCGTGTCACAGGGCCACAATTGTTCGTGATTGGTTTGAAGAACATTCTGGTCATTTCGAGCCAATGATGTGGTCACTCAGATCGCCGGACGTGAATCCCATCGAACATTTATGGCACATAATCGGAAGGTCAGTTCCTGCACAAAATACTGCTCCGGTATCCTAAATAAGGGGACCATCAAATCTAAGACATTCCAAGTACGTACTCACAAGTTAAACAATTTATGAAGTTTCTATTTTTACGAAAATTAATGGATTATTTTTCGTTTCAATTTCATTCTAATCGATAAAGAAAACCAAAAATTTCATTCAATTAATATATTTTTTTGCTTCTAAATAATTGATTAATAATATTTTTGATTAATTGTTGCCATCATTATCTGCGTCATTTGCCTCATCGTATCACTGCCATGTTTGCTGCCACCACCAAGGCCGGATTAAGCAGGAAGAGGACGGGGCCAATCGCTCCGCGGCATACCGCAGTGAGGGGCTTCACAAATTCCCAGTAGCGGTTCCTTGGGGCCGACAAGGTAGGCACTGCCTACCCTGATGAATATGTAGAACTAGTTGAATACATTTCATAATAATAAAAAAAATAAATGTCTCTTACAATTTTAGTATTGAATATTATTGATCTGAAAATGTATAATAAACATTTTATTATCGTGGCACGAGCTATATTTCCATTTCAAGCTTCTTTAACAGACCCTGCGCTATAAGATTTTTTTTCGCATCTTCCCAAAGACCTGCGCCCGCTATTATCACTCGAGGTAAGCACGCCTAGGTGCTGGCTCGCTTCGGACCGTATTCTGAGAAAAGGCCCTGTAGTGAGCGTAGGAGAGTTGCATGCTGTCTGTGTCCATCCTTGACGCCATGCTACGATTTGTGCGTAGGCCAGCTGATTCTCTTACTGCCTGCCCGTAAGGAAGACTCCGATTTCCGCTCACAAGCTAGCCGCATAGTATGTTTACTGTTTAGTTGACGAGTTAACAAGTATGAGAAATATATTATTTAGGAAGTTTCGCATATTCAATTAGCATGCTGCGGTTTATTATTGTTACTTGGTTTTTTGTTACATTTAAATCATATTTTATGTTAACATTACGACAAATACAGTAATTGAACTTAATATGTACGCATTTTCTCGCCTTACCGATGTAAAAAAAAGACAATGGTCGACCTACTGTGTTGAGTATGGTTGTAGATCATGCTGGCGATATAAACACAAGAAAATCCGGGAAGAGGACAGAGGCAACAACCTTGACGCAAAGGGGTGCGACGGAGGGGTTGAGTGGGGGAAATGGAGGGGTGTTGCACGGAGCTTCCACCTCGTAACACCTTTTCTGCTCTCATTTCCTTTGGTGGTGCTGCTTGTGACACTTCACAGAAATAGTGTAGTTCTACAGTTGGAAGGCCAGCTGATTTGGAGTTGGAGTGATACCTGCTAAAGAAGCATTTAGAGAAGCTCTCAAAGGTAATTATTTAGTTATTCATAAACCAGTTTTCGAGGTCAAGACGTCAGAATTCAGAGTTCAGACGCCGAAAATGATTCGAATTTTTAAGATTTTCGAAAATTCCAGAGGTCAAAAGAAAAACATATCCTTGTAATTTATATATGCAATGAGCAAAATTGATGTACTGCCTTTTGAA